CAGGTCCTAAGAAGCTGATGCTTAGAGACCTTCAAAGACAAAGGTCTCCTCCAATCCATTGTGCTAAATAGCCACTCATGGACAAAGAACTTGCCTTGTAATTTTTTTTAATCCCTCACTCAAATAGCCTCTCCCATATCCCATAGCAATAAATTCCAAAGATGAATTATATGCTGCATAAAAACTATGACCTTTGCGTGACAATTACATTCAGTGCTTCCTACTTCTTCTTTTGTGAGAGACAATCAACAGTCACTTCTCAGTTTCACCTCTTCCATTCCACTCCTCACTTCATAGACTTCTAGCATATCCTCCACAGCTGCTGCTTTTCCATACTGAATAGTCCTTGTATGTCCAGCTTTTTCCTCATGTGGAAACCAGTCAATACTGCTGATCATCCTGGCTGCCATTCTCTGTACCTATTTTAGCATATTATGCTGTTCTTGCGAAGGGATCACCAGAACTGTGTACTCAAGATGAACATACCGAGGAGCATCACAAAGCTAACTGGTTTTCCTTAGTTCCCCTACTAGCACTTCTGACCATCTCTTTGTCTCTTTCCTAAGTGGTAACAGTTAATTTATAGCTGATTGTTCTATGCATTATGAGAAAATAACTTCTGACTCTAGGACTGCTGACCATCACTCAACAACAGTAAAAGTTTCTTTAGAAAGAAAATCATTAAATTTATTTTATAACTCCTATGTAGACCTTCAACATATAAAAGTACTAGGACATTGGCTGTTCCGTTAAAGCTCCCTGGACTTATTTGAATTTACAAATTTAAATTAATGACTAGACTTCCTACAGGACACTTGTCTGGTGAATTTAAAATGGACAGCCTACAGAGGCAAGTTCAGCAAAGGCAAGAATAGCACGTTACGTGAATACTAAGACCCCACATAATGCTGCTCCCATGCCAATCATTGCTTTAACCAACTTTGACACTTGAATTGAAGCTTCAAATTTTCTGGTATCCTTTTAAAAAGAGAAAGCAATCATGGAAAATGAAGACAGTGCAAGGAATCAAAACCAAGTACCAACACAGGAGACCTACAAGAAGAGCTGCAAACACCCCAAACTGCCTCTCTAAGAAGCTGACAATCCTAGTTACTGCATAAAAAGCTATCCTTGCGCAAAATGAGGCATTCACACCAGTGAAGCAGACGCTTGCTGATAAAAGCTTCAAAGCAGCAGCTTGCTGGGTAACAGGCACTGTAGTATGCTGCCTCTGTTCCTCTGCCAGAATTATTTATTTATATTCTTGCTTTGAAGCAGACTGGGGCTGTCCATTTCAGATCTGGCTCTCACAGACACTGTTTATTCCTGTTGCTACAGCCTCAGTGATGGTGTCCAATTTCTTAACCTTCATCGGTTTTCACTGACCCTCCTCATGACATGCACTTTTTCTCATGTGAAATGTTTTTAACAGTTCATCATAGACACCCCTTACAACCCTGCCATATCAGCTCGCTCTCCTCCTATCGTTTTCCTTTCCCAGCAGCCCTTCTTTCCATAGCCTGCAGGCAGCTAAATATACAAGACACTGCACTTGAAGGAGCCATGTGTCACTCCGTGGAGCACAGCTCCACCTGTTTGCCAGGCCAGCACAGTGAATTTTAAAGAGGTACCATAGGTCCCCAAGCAAATGGCCGGAAAGGGCCTACAGGCCTTGTGAGCAGTAATTGCACATGATGAGGAGTTACTCAGCCGGGACACAGTTCTTTGTAAATTAAGAACGACTAGCCTGATATTAGCTTTCGACTGGGAGGGACTCTCTAATCTTACACCTTCATAATGGCAAAAAACTTCGCTTAGTTGTTGCCCTCAAAATCCCTGGCCATAGGCCCATAATACACATGGCCACCCCGCTTCCCTTTCCAGTCTTGTTTTCTACCTCACTTGATTTGTCTCAGGCTCTCTTACAACTCTGCTTCCCCTGGAGAAAAGCTTAATCCTCTCTCCATCCCCCAACACAACGTCATTCCTTCTAAATCCTTTGTTAACCTTGGGGTTATGTGAGGTAAGCCAGAAGGCACCTTCAATCCTGAGGCAGCCATCTTTTTTTGTAGAGGCAATCCTGACGGGATTTCCTGGGGTCTTTCCTGATCCCTGCTGAGAAATAACTACAGCAATATCCTGGCTAACAGTGGCCCTGGGCCAGCAGGGACACAGCCTCGGCCGCGGAGGGACGGCCGGGCTCTGCCGGCGCAGGTCACGCAGCAACAGGAGGCAGGTCGCAGGGGTTAACATACATGAGGGTGAAATGCACCCCACCGCCCCAGGTTTCCACCTGATGGGATCCCAGCCCCGGGGCGCCCTGTGCCGTGGGAAGCGCTCGCCAGCACCTTCGCTGGTTGTTTTTTAATTACTACTATTTTTAAAAATAACAGCACTGCCCACAATACCCGAGGCTGAGGGCAAAGAT